CGTTTTGCAGCGCTAACTTCTTTGTTTCTATAGGATCGTGGTAAAGGATATGTGCATTAAGACAACAGCATGCAAAGCAAAAAGACGACCCCAAGCTCAGGACTGGCACGCAGAGCAGTCTCTTGCACTCGTGTCCATACGTGTAGTTCTGCTCGGGGCACTACTAGGGCAGTCGCTCTGTTCAGTCCATGAGCAGCTCTCCCTTCCCTGGGTGTACACACACATTGTCCCAATTCCTGCTTTAGTGAAGCAGTTAATATTGTGGCTACGTATGATCACATATTGCTGAAACTTGGCACGCCGTTACATTTCTGAATGTCATCGAGGGCTTGATTTGGGCTTGCTTCATGCTCGGCTGAATGTTCTTATTTAAACAAATGGATCTGCCCATCTCTAGTGATTCAAAGCCTGCGTTATGAGACGGATTGTGTGAGCAAATATTTTTCACTTAGCACCTTTCAATCTTAAGTATCCCAAGGCACAATGCATGTTATGTTTCCATACAGCACACACCGAGCTGTTCCTGGGATGGCAGGTTGGCACTTAATTGATGTATAGCAGCTTGTGCAATGAGGAAGGTAAAAGAAACGCTGTGATATGACACAGAAGCAAATGCCAGCTGAGGAGAAGCATGATTTTGTGGATAAGGATGGCCAGGTCAATGCACTGACCCGGAGCTCAGGAGGACAGGGCTCTATTTTCTGGTTCTGTCACAGACACTGTGTGACTTGGGACAAATTCATTAGGTATTAATTTAAGTTGTATCAGAAGGCATGGTCACAAACCAGGGTTTTAGACCTGCACAGCGGAAGCATTATATAGCATGCTATTACAGTGATGGGAAAGTGTCCAATTTGCTGGGCTATGAAATATCACACAGCTGCATATTATCAGTTCACAGTAATATTACTTACCTTTTACTTAGCACTTTCCATAAACACAGTTCAAAGCATTTAAAAGAAGAAAGGGCCTTGTCATCCTCATTTTACAGAAAGAGGAACTGAAATGCGGGGAGGTGAAGTCACTTACTACAATTCACACAAACAGTTTAGTGGTTGAACGTGGGAAAGACCCCCTAGGAACAACTTCTAAAACATATGAAGAGTAGTCGATAGAAAGGCATTGAAAATTGCTATAGCAATCCAGTGTGAATTTTAGTTCTCTTCTAATATAAGCACTAGTTTATATTGCTGCTGATTTCATGACTGGATTTGCCCTTACTCTGTGCATATTCCAGCTTTACAAGAGTTCAAAGTATCATGTCAACACATTTTTTCTTGTAACACCATAGACGTGCTCTGTTCCTACTTACTGCCTGTCACTGGGGAAGATGAATCAAATGACATAACATAACATTATAAACCAAACAGACAATGGTCCTACACCCATGTTCTTATAATTGCAGGTCCTTAACGCCAACTCTTCTCTATGAAATGACACACTTAAAGTGGTCTTGCCTTAATGAATGCGAGTTTGAAGAAATGGTGACACACCTATGCCACAGCAAAGCAACTGGAAATGGGCTACTGGAAAATCTACTGGAGTAGCTACTTCCCCATAGCTCCTACAACGCCCTTCGCAAAAGTTGGGTCTTTCCAACTCCCGTCAGTCAAATACGGTGCTTACTGAACCCCATCAACACAATGTGTGTGTGCCTTTAATCTTTGGATGGGCTAGGAAAGAGTTCTGCATTGTGCACAGACGTGCAAAAGAGTAGTCGGTGGGGAATGCACCATTCAAGTTCGGCGTTGGTGACTTCCGGACCTCAGTTGGCAACTTCATGGCCTTGTGGGCTAAATCTTATATCAGCTTGTTGTGCCTGAATGTCCCTTATATAGCTGCATATGTGCCACTTTTGCATTTTATTTCCACCTGTGCTTCCCATCTTGGCAGGCTCCACTATAGCCACAATGGCACGGAGGTAGCCCTGAGCAAGGGCTGCAACCGCTCCATTGCTGGGCTGAGAGGTAGGCCCCTGCTCTCTTACCATTTACTTCAGGATGATCCTTTCCTCACTGGGCCATGAACTTTGCATCTCATTTGTAATTTCATTGCAATACCAGGGCTGGGGCAAGATTTTACCAAGAACTTGGGCGAAGCTTGGTGGGCCCCAAGGCCTGAATCTCAGGCAAAACCCACAGGCGTATTTTTGACCCGCTGCCAGGCAAAAGACGGCTCTGAGTGCTGGGATTTGTTCAAGTCCCACAATCAAATAAAACTCAGTGGGTAGCCAGACCCCCAGCCTTCTCCACCTAGAAACATTGTTCATATGAGTACCTACAAATGACCTCATTTTGCAACATTTCTTCCTTAATGGAGACAAGGATTTCAGCAGCGATTTAAGTGACGAGTGCATGGAAGAGCTAAAAACTGGGACTGGAAAACAAATCCCTGAATTACAAGCTGGAAAATGATAGCACAGTGCCCACTTCACCTGTGCTGACTGCTTCATGTTATAATGGCACTAATGTATTTATCCTTGAGTCTGTAAATGTTTCTGGATACTTGAAGCAGACATAGTATTTCAGGACTGAAAACTGATGAAACTAGAACCCCCCCCACCCAGGAAAGGCAACAGGCAAAACACTATTTTGCTTTAGGCACCTCACTGCCACGTATGTAGTTTCTGGCAGCTGCCCGCAGCTTGCAACTCAGCTTTGCATGCACAAGTCTGTGTGCACCCAACTAAGCAGGCCAACGAGGGCACCTGTGCACAGATATGTGCACAAGGCTGATTTAAGGTCCCACCTTTTAGTTGCAAAAAAATGTGACTAGTGGGCGTTACACGCTTGAAGCGGCAGAGGGGGGCACCCGCCCACTGCAGCTTAGTTCCAGGCACAGCTTATTCAGAGGGGATATGAACCTTCATCTCCTGCCTTGTACCAAAGCGCTCTAGCCCTTAGGCCACAGGCTGGCCTGTCCTAGGTCTTCCCCCAGCTCTAGCCCTGAAGCTGACCTCCTGGGCAGGCAACAGAGGAAGCTAGATGAAGCAGGAGAAAGAGACCTAACCCCAGTGTGCATGACTTCCATGAGGTGGATGCTCTTGTGCACAGGAAAGGGACCAGGGTTGAGCCTGGGACCCTGTTTCCAGTGGGAAAGGGAATTTCCAGGTGCTGTTTATTCATCCTGGCTACTCAGTATGAAAAGTAAAGGTACAAGGGGCCTCTTCAAGAGGAGGGCTGAAGAGACCTCCGTGTTGTGCCTAGCTTGTAGTGTGGTGGTTAGAGCACTTTGCTGGGAAGCAAGCTCTCGCTCCCTCTGGGTGAGGACAGCCCAGGACTGGGGCCTCCTACTGCCTCGCTGCGCGGCGGACGAGCGGGAGAGCTCTTCTACTCCTCCTCTGCTTTGCTTTGGACAGATGCACTCGCACAGCCGTTCTGTTTTGCTACAGGGACAAACAAGCTGTGCACAAGTGCCATAAACCACAGGTACGCCATTGCGCATATGCTATTTAGGCATCTACCGTGCAACAGATGTAGCTCAACGTATCTGGCAATTAAAATAGCTAGCTAGGAGATGATAGAGAGCTGGAAGGAGAATCCAGGATTTGTAAGAAACTTATTGTGAAACCTTCACAAATTCCTCCTTGGCCTGAGTTTCACTCACAATTCCAACAAACAACAAAAAATATCAAGTTAAGGTGCTCCGCCCCTTGGAAAAAGAAAATCACATCCTTAATCTCTCTGTACTTCATATTACCCTGAACTATATTTGAAATAATAGTTCCCTACTCCAGCAAATGTTGGCATCTTATTTGGTGATTGCAAAGTGGTGCAATTTCCTGTATAAGTGCAATGCAGTGACTGGTCCAAAAAAACGTATCATATTCTGGACACAGTGCAACTAGAAAATTAAAAAAAACAACCCAAAAAACACAACCCAAGCCAAAGCTAGCATCAGATAATTTTGTCTTCACTTTTTTCATATCACAAGTGACTCGGGTTTCTAACGGCAGAGGAACACTTGCATACAAGTCTTGCTAGCTAGGCACCCCAGAGCGACACTTCTGAAGTGTACTTTTAAAGGCTTCTTTGTACATTTTCTTTCTGTAAGATTAGTGCCCGCTGAAGTCCAAGGTGAAATGGCTCAAATGAGCAAATGTACATCTTGCCAGAGTCAGATCAGAGTGAACTTGATCCTTTCTGAAGTTTAAACACTGCAATAAACAAAGAGGAGGAGGAGCAGAAGGTAGCCAAGCATTTAAGAGGATCTACTATCTCACATTCCAGGGACTCGGGCACAATTATAGCAGGTTTGATACCCAGAGGATCCTGAGGTACACACAGGATATGGCACATTCGATTAAAGAACAGTCTATCTTCAACTTGTTATATCCAGGATCATTTTGGAGATTCCTGGTTTTGAGGTAAAAGAGGTAATGTTTTCCCCCCAACAAGGTTAGACACTGCCTTTTAAACAAGCTACGTAAGGAAATCCTCTCATCATTACTAAATAAACATTTTGCAATGCTGAGTGTTACTTGCAGAAGTATGATAGGAGGATTCCCTGTGTTCACTAAGCATAACTTTAATCATATTTTTAAGGAAGCGTTTAACTTTCATCAAATAGTGATTCAAGTTGGAAATTCTGCATCAGTGCAGACACACCAGTTACTTGCATTCGCCGGATGGACTCGGCACACAAGCACGGTCAACTTTAGGCTTCCACCTAACATCCTTTCTGCTGGGGAGGACGTTGGTTCCCACCTGTTTAAATCATCACTAATTCCTGTTTGGGATTTTCATTCTTTTTGGGCATTTGGGAGGGGCTGGATTATGCCAGCATCTCTCCTCTGTATTGCCTTTAGCACCAGGCTCTCCACATCAGGTTGCGATATGCTCTACTTCTATTGAATACACCTTACCTGACAGCACTCTCTTTAGTTTGCTATTCCAAGAACATATTATAGAGAAGAATTAATTGTCATCGTGCTGCTCTATTTCATGCCTGAAAAAAAAAATGAGTGGCTATAACTGCATCGTTTTATGTTTAATACTCACCAAGCAGGCTCAGAGCACAGAGAGCTGCCCAGAAAAGCTGCTTCCTCTTCATTGCTCTGAAGCTTCCCAAAAACGTCCCTGCTTGTGGCTCTCAATTAAAACTGTATGTTGCTCTGAGTAATCTTGAGTTTTCGAGTCCTGCTATTATTGAGGCTGCGTGCAGCTTTCCTGTAGCTCCAGTCTTGGCGATCAGCAAGCCAAGGGGTGGATATTCCTTCACAGAGGTTGTGCTTCTGCTTCAAGACTGAGGTGGAGTTTGCCTGAAGTTTGATCTCATAGCTCTATATACTTTACAGCTTCTCACCATCACACTGCACCACCACATCCCACCCTCCTTTTTTTTTTCCTAGACATCACATATACTTAACTCTTTCATGGAAAAGCTGGTTTCTTTTACTTAAAAAATGAAGACAGTTAGAATTTGCTCTGTATGGAAAGTCTGACTAATGTGCCTTGTGTGGGTAACCTCCCTTTTTCCCTGAGTTTTATATAAATCTGTAAGCAATATCCATGTGAAATGAAAGTGTTAAAGCTATAAAGCTGCGCTATACACACAAAACTATATTGCATATGCTGTAGGGTAACACTACAGGAACTTCAAAAGCAGATTTTAGCACCTTGATTTTTTCCGCAATCAAATAAAGTGATGATCTGCCCCCCAAAACCATCACTGAACTAAACAGAAACAACTCAAGTTACTTCAGCCATGTGGAAATCACTGAGACCAGTAGGTAACATGGTGGATGGAATAAAGGCTTTTGCAAGGGACGGGTTGCATTGGAGATAGACCTGTTGCATAAAACCTTGCAGGGGAATGCCTAGAAATGTACTTGCTTTCTGCCTAAAAAAATGCAGTTATCTAGACACAAACTGGTGTACTAAAAAGGTCAGACTTGTTCTTCACTACTACCGCAGAGACATTTCTCATGCCAAAAATCAAGGCAAAGTGGCCTGGGCTGAGCAATGTGCTGCTGAGGTTAGACCGCTACTAGTAACGGAGCTAAATAGTTTAAAAGTGCAGCACAGCTGCGTAGTTAGTGTAGACACTGCCCCCATCCCAGACCAGGTGGTCAACCTGGCCAGGTAGCCAGAGAAAAGCATGACTAGTACCGTTCAGGTAAACCAAGGAATCCCACTTCTTAGTCCCATAAATTCATCTCTGTTTTCTTTCTTATTTTATTTCGTTTTCCTTCTTTTTTTAACATTTTTCTTGCTCCCCTTCTCCCAGTGGAAACACCCCCGGCCCCTCCTCCACCTTAAGAATACAGTCCCCTTTTCTGTTTTAAGACACAGGTCAGATCTTGATAGAGACTATGAGAGACACCTTCCCTCCCACATCCTCCTCTGTTTGAGAGTGGAGCAAACGTATGGCAACCAGACTCATTACTTATGTTGAAATTAAATATTTGGAAAATATGAACTATTCTTGCAGCCATCTTAAATTAATTTTAACGTGTGGAAACAAGACATCTGGCACCATGTGACCACCAATCCTTCAGCGGCCCAGAAACAAATGCAATGCAGACCAGTTTGGGAATTTACCTCTATAATAATATACAATCCATAACTTGGGCAGGGAGCCGACCGTGTCATGAAGAAACCAAGAGACCTAGGCTTTGCTTCTAGTTATGTCACTAACCCTGTGGTCTTCGGCAACTCAAAAACTTGGATGAATTCCTACATCTGTAAAAAGGAGATGCTTCCTTTGTAAGATATGGATCCTCACCTCAAAAAACACCTTGTAAGTGCTATATATTGCTATTCTTTCTTGTTGGTGCAAAATAGGAGTAAATCTATTGGCAAACATGGAGTACAAGAAGAACCAAACCCTAAATGAGATTTGGAGAGCTGTCAAGTGCAGGCATTGTTCCTTCAATATTTGTAAACATTAAAATGACATAAAAATGCTGGTTTCTGGGCTTCCTTGTTCTGAATGTTAGAGCAACAAACTTCTCTTGTTAAGAATTCATTTAGGCTCCTCAAAGTAAAAGTGTGACAGCTTTTTCCCTTTCGCATGACTATAGACAAGTAAACTGAATTTTGGCTTATTTTTTTTCTTATAACTGACCATTTAAATACATTTACTTTATGAGAGAAGTCATTTTTAACAGGCTACCCGCAATGGCACTGACAGAATCAAGAGGTCAGTAAGAATAATCAAGCTACTCAGATTAAAGTTATGGGTTTCTATTTGGATATCACCCTCACACATCTTACCGAAATATTACATGCAACAAACTTCCGCACTAGATTGTATTTAATTGTATGCATATATATGGTAAAAGTTCTGGTAGCTTTTATTTTTAATTTAGGACAGGAAAAAACCCTGGGAAGGAAACATCTGTTGCAAAGCTAGTCGCTCCAAGTTTATATATAGACTTTTTTTTGTCTTAATGTGCCTTTTTTTTTTTTTAAAGCTCACTGGAAAAGTTTTACATCTATGACAAAAAAGCCTTCATAATATTCCAGTAACAAATAGCAAAGGATCAGACTCACACACACACACACACACACTTTCCTCCTCAATATAGACAATTTAATCCCTCCATCTTTCTACAATACACAAAGACTCATGGAGAAAAAACAATCCATATGTAGACATGCTCAGTCTTACTTAAAATACTATTAGGGTGAAAACTTCTTTTAAAAAAAATACAGAAGTAGCCGGAACTGCAATGCTGAAATGAACACTTCCAAGAAATCAGTGCACAGACACATTTATAAGGGATTACACACACACACGCACGCACGCACGCACGCTCGCGCAGGCACAAACTTCACTTTAAGAAAACGACTGTAAATATCTGGCCACATCCTTAGTAACCATGTAAAACCTCCTTAAAGATAAAATAGATCTTACCTGACCTTCAATGTCAATACTTCTGGAGTAAAACTTATATTTCCTTGAAACACTTTCCAATATAAAAACATTAAAACAATAAATAAAGGGGTGGGGGAGGAACAAAGTGTGTGTAAAAGCATGAAAATACGTATTAGTTATGTTTGGGGACATATTTTATTTTTTAGGACACAGTTGTTTGCAGAGTAATCAAATCAGGACTCTTTGAATTTCCCCTTAAAGCAACAGTGACTGCCTTGGTCACCGGTTGCTACAGAAGCGGGTAGCAGGTAAATGCAGAGACTCGCGGCAGGGCACGGTCACAAAGCAGTGCGTGCAGCTAAAACCTAAACCACCCCCAAGGAGGCTGTGCTAAACCAGGCAAGGAAAGGGCCGGTGCCCAGAGAAGGGAAAGGAAAAGCCCCAAGCCCCGATTACGAGACTTGCTTACTTGGCACAGACTTCCTCCCTTCAAGCAAGGGCAGGAGGGTGGGTGGGGAAAAGCCCAAAGGTGCAGCATCTGGAAATGAAGGGGCTCTGGGAGCAATCCAGCTACAGCTCCTATTATTCTTCCCCTCACCTGCACCTAGATTCATTTACCTGCACCCCTGCCAAGAAAACCACCACTCAGCTGGGCCCTAAGTGCTGCCAAAAAAGACACACCTCACCTGTTCCACCTTGCATGTGAGCCTTTTCCCTGTAGCAGCTTGTGAGGCCTTGAACCCTGCCAGGGAAATCCACAGCCAGATGCCTGCACAGCCGCAAGAGGAGCTTCGCACAACCGCATAAGGTCACCCGTCCTCGACCGCCAACCGGACCACGCAACGACACATCACAGCCCTGCCGCAAGCCGGCTCCAGGATCACGGCTCTAGCGAGCGAGGCGAAAGGGAGCTTTGCCCGGCAGAGTAAGCTGGGCTGGGCAAAGTGTGGGGAGGAAGAGGAACGGGCAGGGGAAGCCAGCACTTTGCCATGGTGCCAGGATCCTGCCCGGCGCACCAAGGGGCAGCACGGCACTGCAGCCCCGGCGCTGTCCAGCACTGGCCTTGCTTGCTATCTCGCCGCTCAGCCTCTCAGCACCAGGGAGCTGTGCACTTGCGGGGCTTTGCTAGGCACGAGCTGTCTCACACTTTGCCCATCCGGGCCCCGACAACAGCAGCACGACCTGCTTCTCTACTCTGTTCTGTTTAGTGGGCATGAGGAGCCTGGCAAGGCTCTCAGCGAGCTGCCCCGCCGTTCCCTGTGCAGTCCCATGCTCTTCCACCCGGCTCCTGCCCCGTCGTGGGCACAGGCTTCTCCCGGGGGTTTATCACTGGCACTTTCCTTGCACACAGCCAGCAGCCCCCAACCCACACACGGTCTCTCACCTGGCGTGCTCCCTTTTTTCTTGACCGTTCAAAAAGAACTCAAATATTACAAAAGGAGCAAAAATATTTCTACCTGCTCCTCATGCTCAAAACAGATTTTGTTACAGCCACGTGACAAACAGTTCCCAGAATGGCATATGAAGATCCATACGGCACCTAGGCATGCATTCATTACTTATTATGTAGTAAACACCGTCACTTATGAAATAGGTGTACACATCTGTCTCTTCCCATAAAGGTTTCGTATCAAGTGACTTTCTTTACATTCAAAGAAGTATTTTAAGTCCACAGTCTAGGTTTCAGTGTCACGTTTTACTTTCTGGCACATGTTATTAGGATCATTCTCACTATAGATTCCCAACAGCTGCTTTTCTGGAAGTGATCTGCTGTGACAATGCATCTTACTCTGACAATGCATCTTGGAGGCATCACTTTTTGGACGGGACATGAGTAAGGTCCTAAGTATATAGCTCTTAGATACTCTAATCCTTGTGCAAAGAGCCTTTGATCAGCAATGGATTGCTTTTAGCTTGCTAAGGAAAACTAAAACAGCACTGGAAACAAAAGCTCTACTTACTAAGGACTGCGGCAAAAACAATGCACTGGGCATTATCCACCAAAACTGGTGGTGCCTTTTCAGAAGGAGTAGGTCTGCACTATAACCAAATGGTCTGAATTATCACCCACAATAAAGCACTTAAAGGCACATTCCACAAAAAGGCCGTCAGTTCCTGCCTGCAGCATTCAGATGACTACTCTAGTCCATACCCCAACACCTCACCCATGCTAAATAATACTTCTGTCCTTTCCTGGATGCCCTGGTTAGTCTCCAGTCTCTCCTGCTTCATTTCCTCCTATTCTTTTTTACACCCATGTGGGATCTTGACAGAAAGAAATGAGCAGGGCCATCCGGATCTAGGCTGCTGATCTTCATTTGCCTCTGTAAACAGGCTAAAAATAGACCATGGGGCTAAAAATAGAGTAAGAATCAACTTGCCACCCAGAGGGTGTGGGAACCTAAACATTTTTTTCATTTCTAATAGTAGTCAGGACTTCAATTAAGTATAA